TCAGTCCGCGTCACCGAGACCCCCATCGGATGCATGCCAGACTGATGATACGCACCAACTCCCTGCAGTCCTTTTCCAGCCTGTCAGGGTACGATTTCTCCCGTATCGTGAACGGCTCGCGCGGTTGCGCTAAGATCCGTAGCATTGCACATCATCAAAGACTCATCAAATCGTGCTTATCAAGGTGGAGAGGTAGTTAATTACGTTTTTGCTCATCACACCTGACGGACGTTGTCCTTCCACCCGTTAGACGGTGTTTTCGAGTCTTTCGCTCTTCGTTGACAGGCATTGCCTGTGGACATAGCTGTTACAATCCGATTTAGTCGGCCTTGATATCCTTCGCATGGTACCTTCCTTTCTTGCCGCTCAAAACGTCCTCCAAAACGTACAAGTTCGTTCCCAGGATCTCCTTCACGACTGCTGGAACGAATTTCGGTTCGAGCTTGCTGTTTATTTGATCTGCCTTCGACGACAGCACGAATGATCGCCGCCAGACTAGGTCTCCCACCTTGAATGCGACTACTCTTGATCGAAGGTTGTACCGTTGCTTCGTCCTCTCGTGGTTGTTCTTGATACGCTGGATGATGAGCTACTGTATTCGGCGAATCGCTGATAGACGCAAGTCCTGTGCCACCTTCGGATCCTCCGGCGTATTCAAGTCTTGCTGTGTGTAGAGATCCGTGTGTAGTAGTAGGTTCCTCCCGAAGTTTGCTTCATGCGGACTCACTCCTGTCGCCTCGTGCTTGGCCGAGTTAATCGCAGCGGTGATGGCCGATAAGTTCTCGTCCCATTCTCGATGATCTCCCTCCAACAACGACCGGATACAAGTGACTATGACGCGGTTCACTCGCTCCGCATTGTTGACTTGCGGGCAGTAGAATGCGGTTTTCATATGGCTTATTTTGTGCCGTGCCAGCCATGATTTGAACAGCATCGACTCGAACTGCTTTCCGTTGTCGGACAGTATTAACCTTGGACGCGAGAACTTCAGGCAAATCTCCTTCTCCAGGAACTCCACCATCTTCTGCGAATCCGCCGTGCGCATCGGCTGGACGATCACGTACTTGCTGACCCAATCCACCACCACAAGTAGCACCGTGTTTCCTCGCTTGGAGCGTGTGAGCGGCCCGACGAAGTCCACCGATATCATCTCCCACGGAATTTTCGCCGGTTTCGGGTTACCCATCTGCGGCATCATTCTTGTACCCGGAGCCTTGCACGCCTTACACGTAGCACAGTTCTTCACGTAATCGTTGATTTCCTGTTGCATCCGCGGCCAGTAGTAGTGCGCCTGCAACTTGTGCCAAGTCTTGTAGAAGCCTAGATGAGCAGCGGCTGGTTCGTCGTGGAATCTGCGGATCAACTGTATTCTATCCTGCTTCGGAACAACCTGCTTCCACTTGTGGAACACTGCTCCTACTTCGTCCTTGCAGCGACAGTTCTTGAACAGGACATCATTCGCTATCCGAAAATCTGGAAACTGGTCTCCGTCGTTCTTCACTTTTTCGATCAGCTTCGTGTACCATGGATCCTCTATCTTTTCTGCGGTAAACACTGCTTCCGCTACCGTCCTCGACAAAGCATCAGGAACTACGTTGATCGAGCCTTTTCGGTACCGGATCTCGAAATCGAACGCATTCAGCCTCAACAGCCATCTGCTCATCAGCGCTGTCGGATTCTTCATGGACTTCAGATAACTGAGCGCCGCATGATCGCAATGCACGACGAACTTGACTCCTTCTACGTAGCCTCTGAACTTTTCGATCGCCCTGATCACCGCCAGGCATTCCCGCTCCGTGACCGAGTACTTTCTCTCCGATGCTGACAGCTTTTGCGAGAAGTAGCTGATGGGATGTTCCTCTCCGTCGATTTCTTGAGTGAGGACCGCTCCAATCGCTGTATCGCTCGCATCACATGCTATGGCGAACGGCTTACCGTAGTCGGGCATCGCTAATACCGGGGCTGATACCAGGGCTGCCTTCAGCTTGAGGAATGCTTCTTCCGCTGCCGGAGTCCACCGGAACTTCGTCTTCGCTCTTGTTAGATCAGTCAGTGGAGTTGCGAGCTGCGAGAATCCTGCGATGAATCGCCGATACCAATTACAGACACCCAGAAAGCGTTGTACTTCCTTCCTGGTCGAAGGTGTTGGGAACTGCACGATCGCTTCGATTTTTTCGTCGTCCACGCGCCATCCTTGTTCATCAATCACATAGCCGAGGTACTTCATCCGCTTCCTGCAGAACATTGACTTCTCCGATGATATCGTCAGATCCGCTTGCCGTAGTCGCCGAGCCACTTCTTCGAGCAGGGCGATGTGCTCTTCGAAGGTTTCTGAGCAGATGATGATGTCATCCAGGTAGTGAAAGACCTGCGGTTCCATGTCTGCGAAGATGTGCGTCATCAGCCGTGCCAAGGCTTGACTGGCCGTGCACAATCCAAAAGGCACCACCTTGAATTGAAAGTGGCCTCTGGATGGAACGGTGAACGCCGTTAGCGGCCTTGATTTTGAGTGAAGCGGAAGCTGCCAGAAAGCATCCTTGAGGTCTATCGACGAGATGAATTTACTGCTTCGGAGGTTGTTAGTTATCGATGCGATCTGCGGAATCGGATAACCCTCGTTCACCATGATCGAGTTGAGGTGACGGGCATCTAAGCAGACGCGGTACTGACCGGTCTTCTTCTTGACGGCTACTAATGGGTTGTTCCACGGCGAGAATTGAGCTTCTTCGATGACGTCCAGTGCAATCATCCGATCGATTTCTCGATTGACCTCCTGGAGAACGTACGGTGACATAGGGTAGTGCCGTTGCTTCCTTGGTGTGGCGTCTCCTACTTCGATTCGATGTTCGTACATGGTCGTGCGTCCCAGCTTGCCATCCTGCGCCTTCGGGAACTTCGCTATAGTTCTCTCTAAGTGCCTTCTCTGCTCTGCCGACAGCTCCTTCATCTCTTGGTCTTCACTCCGTTCCTCTTTGTTTTCTACTTCGACCGAGCAGCAAACAGCCTTAACTCCGAATTTGTCCCAAAAGTTCATACCCAAGATGACGCAGTCTGGGATTGATGGCACCATCAGAACTGGGAGAACTTCGTTTCGGTTGTTGTACACTATGGGAAGGTAGACGAATTCGCTGATACTATGCCGTGTTCCGTCCGCTGTCTTGATTCCTCCTTTCACGTTTCCTTTCTGCAACCCATAATCCTCTGCCAGCTGGGTTCGTTTACCGCCGAGCAGCGAGCAGTTGGCTCCGCTGTCTAGCAGTGCAGTTAACTCTTTTCCTAATACCGATATTACAGCGTGCGGTCGATTGTCACTTCCGGGGTTGATGATTATTGAGTTGAGGTTCTTGAACTCTGGGATTTCTGAGGGTTGTTCGAGAGTATGCGGAGAGCTGCTTCCCTCTATTGCATGTTCCCCGCCGTGTAGTTTACCGCATCTGAGCGGCAAGTGAAGCAACTGCGCAGCGAATATCCTTTCCGTCCACAGCGGTAGCAGAATAACACCGCCTGCGGCTTAGGACAGTCCATGAATCTGTGTCCTTCTTCGTCGCAGTTCCAGCAGATCATTACCAACCGTTGGTGGTTTGCCGCCGATTGTTGCTGATCACTTTGCTGCTCCACTCGATCTGATCGGTCTTGTTGTTGCGGTTCGCTCCTCCTGCGTGTTTCGCCGGTTGATTCCCCTGTCTGCTGCTGATTCCAACGCTGTGGTTGCCAACCCTGCGTGCTCTGCTGGTGGTCCACCTGTTGCTGCATTCGCGGTATTGGTTGTGGCGCGTTCTGCGGGCGTAGTTGTTGCTGAGCAGACGCCGATGGCATGCTGGTGTATTGTTGACGTGGTTGCTGCAGCTGATCAGGTCCCGAATGGTTAGATCTACCGCCAAATCGAGGCTGCCGCTGGTTTTGCGCTGCTTCGTTCGGCCTAGAGCTCTTCCTTTCGAAGTTCATTTTAAGAGCGTTCACTTGCTCAACGAGCTCATCGAGCTTGTACTGCCAGTTGTCTTCCTCCGGATCTGCTGACGCTTCTTCTTCCTGAATTCCTACGACTTCTACTGCGTGCACCCTGTTGAAGCGATGCGGATGTTGCTGTGGTATTTGCACTGGCCTGCTGCTGGCCGCAGGTGTCGCAAAGTTCGGCTCTAGTAGCGCATTATGTGGAATTGGGATGCGACGCTGCCTGTTCAATAGCATCCTCGTTTCGTCGTAGCTGGTACAAATCTCTACCATTTCTCGTAACGATCGAGGCCTTGCTGCTGTAACAATCGCTGCATAGTCCGCGTTCATATTCTTCTTCACTATGAAACACTTCTCTTCTTCCGGAACTGGCGGCTCTACGAACCGGAAAAGTGCAGAGATGTCCCGGTAATATTTTGCAAACGACTCGCCGGCTCCTTGGAATCGAAATGTTGCTTCCAGACGAAGAATTTGGGAGTATCCACTTGGCAGGAATTCTCTCCGTATCTCCCGTTTGAACGCATTCCATGTCGGTAGCAATTGCTGTGAAGTAGCTCTCGCATACCAGTCAAGAGCGTCCTCCTGTAACAGGTGCTTGATGGAGATCAGCAGTGTCTCGTCGGTCATGCCCTCTGACCTGGCGAACGTCTCAACGCAATCCAAGAAAATGTTGAGCGATGTTGTATCCTTTTCTCCTCTAAATTTGAATGGCCAATTATGTACCGCCTTCAGCATCCTTCTCTCGTCCTCCCGCCTTGCTGGAGCTGGTTGTCTTTCTTGGCGAAGCAGACGAGCCAGTAGCTCGTCACGAATCCTGTGGTGCTCTTCCCTGGCTTGCGCTTCTCGGGCTCGTGCATCCCTTGTTTGCGCTTCTCGTGCTTCTTCTTCTCGAGTTCGTGCTTCTCTATACTGCCGCTCCCTCGCTCGAGCTTCCCTTGCTTCTGTATCTCTGGCTCGCAGCTCTCTAGCTCGTGCCTCCCTAGTCTCGTATTCGTCATTGACGTCGTATGGTGGCGGTGGTGAACCGTGACGACGATCCGGTGATAATCTTAGGCCGCTCCTGATGCTTCGACGATCTTCATGTGAGTTTGACAATAACAAACTTTGACCCCGTCCTCCTGAGAACGAAACCAGTCGTGGCGTCGATGACCCTGACGGTGGTAGTTCGTCCTGTTGTCCAGCGTGTTCCCCCGAATTCGCCAAATTGTTTCCTCCTCCAACAGCGCCTTGCTCTTGATCAATGGTCCTCCTTCTCGTACCGGTTGCGTTTGCCTGTTGGTTCACATTAACTTCACTTGGTTGTACACCATCACCACAGGATCTCAACACACTGACAACTTTATTGAACAACACATTCATGTGTACCGTTATCAACGTGTGAGTGTCTCTCAATTCCACCGGGGGATTAATTAAGCGTAACCGACTTCGATAGTGAGACAGTCGCGAACAAAGTTGACTGAGACCGTTTATGTCTCTTGTATTGACGGCTGTTTCGGTGAGCAAGTGAAATTGTTCAACTTGCTCTTGACAAACTTCAATATTAGCTTGAGCACTCATCACATGCTCAGAGCTAGTTGGCATGTTGTCTCTCGAGGACTCTTCTTGCAAGAGTGCCTTGAGGCGAAGCACCTTGCCTCGGTGCGTAGTGGGTCCCAAGTTGACAACATGACGTAGAGCCAACTCGTAATCTATTTCCTCATTACTCAAATGCGTATAATCCATCTCGAAATCTAGTGCGATAAGGCTAAAAACAAATAATCCTATCAAGGATACTCAAGCACAAACCAAAAACTCAATACACAAACCAAAAACTTCCGCTTACGGTAATTTAAATGTGGATTTTCAGTTGGGCGCCAGTGTTACAAATTCCCCGGTAGCGGTAGAGCAGAACTATCGTAGGGCCAACAAAACACAAACACTAATCGGCATTTGCTCCAACCAAAGCAAAAGAGTGTCGAATAACAGTTTAACATTTATTCATTCGCACCCATTCTCCCACATTCCTACTCCTGATTCCTACTTCCTCTTCTTCCTCTCTCTATCCTTCGTACTTTTCCGGCAACCTTGTGCCTCCTATCATCTTTCCAACTATGTCAATTTTTCTTCTTATGAGTACTCACTTTGCCGGTCGGGTGCACCCTTACCGTCGCACAAACGCCGTCTCGATGATGCTGCTATTCGCACGTCTGTTCGGCTCCACACGCACAACACACCTGCGCTCCTGCCGTCGCTCTGGGTGGAGATTCACTCCTCGAAACACCGTCGATCATATCAACGTAAGTGCTCGCGGGTTCGTTTCCCTCCACGTTGGACGTCGCTTCCGTCGAGACCACTAGTTGCTAGCGGCGTGCCCCGTCGCTTCGATGTCGCAAGCACTCCGAGGAGAATAAACCTCGCCTGAGGGTTCCGCAGGTGATGCGGGCTTCGACACTGACCACGTGTCACGATCACGAGACAATCCGATCCAATGAGGTGCTGAAAGTATGGAACAAAAGCCTTCTTTTGAAGGCTTCGTCTTTCGATGCCACGATCCACCGCGGCCGGGCGCTGTCCGTGCGATCGGATCTCGTGCTGCTGATCGTCGTCAATTCTCCACGTGCACCTGTGGTTATGGTACTCTTCTCACTGCCGGTATGTACGCTTTGTGTGGCGAGAATCTTTTGATTGCCGCGCCGTTTCCAAGCGGGCCGTTTGCAGATCTCTTCGTTTCGGATCTTTTGGACACTGCCGCAATCTTCCGATATCCGTCGGATCGAAAGGCGGTCGTTTTGGCACCACTCACCGCCGAAATTGCAGCCCGCGCGCCGACGAAGAACAATTTTCACCACGCACTCTACTCGCACTCGCGACAACCAAAGAAACGAATATTTTCGGGTTCTTTTCCGACCCACGCTCTTTTGCGTGCTGTTTGCACGGGAATCTTTTCACTTCTGCCTTTCGCTGTGTTCGACGGATCCGGTACAGGCTGATGTGGATGTGTGTGTGCGTGCGGAAGCACAGTCAGCAGACTCAATGCTGAATCATTATTCGTCAAAACAATTTGCGTTGCTCGTTCCTTGTCAAGCGATGTGACCTCTGCAGCATCTTTTGTTTATGCACGTTCGAATGTGTTTAAGCAGCAATTGTGTAAAATTACTCGTTTTTACCAAACACAGGAAAAAATTACAACCCAAATCTAAAACGTAACAAACTTTACAATTGACTAACGCAGCAAATGCCTTTGGGAAGTTCATGTCGAAAGCTCATGTGTTCGTTTTTTTTCAGGATCCAAAAGCTTGAAGAAAACTGCAATCCCTTCGAAAAATTTACCGCAGCTCGCTGAATTAGATATCAGCATTAACAAATACACCGTACTCAGGAAATCTTTCCGAAAGAAAACATTGTCACTGCAACTAGAAGACGACGAAACTTCTTCTATCTTATCAGCAACATCCAGTAAAGGGGCTGTAGCGTCAATTGATGAGCTAAGCAGTTCGCTAAATCAAACTAAGATTTCTGATATGATTGATTGCTCTTCTAACCTTGCGGAAGCTGCAGACACGAATGCAAACAAGGATGAAAACAACAATGTTACCAGACAGTGCGCAACATGTGGGCAGGATAATGTACTGAAAACACACCACACGACTGTGGGTATCACTTATAGCTCGAATAGTAAAGATCCGATTTTATCGGATATGCTCCTCACAAATGAAGCGCTGAACACTTGGACTGGCATACCAACAAATGAACTATTGGAAGAAATTTGTTTGGCGGCCAAGAAACTGGAGGAATGGGTGTACCCACGGAAGTTTGCCATGAACTGTACAGATCGAGTCATACTAGTAATGGTTAAACTGAAACAAAATCTAAGTTTTGCAGCCATCGGAATATTATTTGGAATCCATGCAGCTACAGTAACCAATTATTTTTCGCATACCGTCCAGATCTTGAGCAGCGTTCTACAAACATTTGTGTATATGCCATCCAAAGAAGAAATTCGGAAGAATATTCCCCTATGCTTCAGAGAGTTCTCCAATGTTACGATTATCTTGGACTGTACAGAAGTTCCGTTGGGTACACTTAAATGTTTGAATTGCCGAATAGCAACTTATTCACAGTACAAAAGTAGAAGAACAGCTAAGTTCTTGATTGGAGTTACACCAGCAGGACTAATTTCGTACCGCAGCAAGGCTTATGCAGGAAAATCTTCAGATAAATATATTTTCAACGCGGAAAAGCTGATTGACCAACTTTATCCTCATATTGACGAAGTGAAGGTGGACAAGGGTTTTATGATCGAAAATGAATTGTCTGCTAAAGGGATTAAACTGCATAGACCTCCATTTATGAAGAACAATCGACTATCACCTTCAGAGGCGTACTTGAACGAAGCCATAGCAAAAGCTCGAGTTCACGTAGAACGTATAATGCAACGAATCAAAACCTTTGCGATATTACAAGACACGTTCGATGTGTGTATGTTGGGTTACATCAACGATATAATGTCTATAATCTGTGGGATAGTCAATTTGACAAACCCGATCCTGCGTGACGATAAATTTTAAGCTATGCACACCAACAACTTTCTCATTCATCATAACAATAGTAGGCTGCAGAAGGAATACAACAACAATATAAGAGTATTTAAAAACAACAAAAATCGTAAGATATTTATATTTCAATAATTCAATGTTTTTTTTTTCTTATCCACAGGTATACTTTGATAGTATTGCGCATTTGTCACCAAATTGGACAAAAGTGTAACCGTTAACCTCAAATCGTTTTGTTGTCTTCGGTGCAGCAAGAAATAAGTGCTGCGAAAACAACAAAATGATTTGACTTAAGCGTGCACTTTTATTATACTCTTTGTATTTTTGGAGCTGATCAGTTTTAGCTGCAACCAACAAGTGCTACAGTGAATAACAATCGGACTCCAGATGTTAACCAAGATTCCATCCAAAATATTCTACGCTATGATGACTGAACTGCAATTAGTAATAACGCGGCAGAACGCGAAGGTATCGGACTTGAAATCAATTTCTCTGGATCAAATTAAAGGAGATCAACAATTTGGATTGCTAATCGATGTTTTGAATCGAATCTTCTTTCTAGAAATCACAATCAATCGTAAATCAAACCAACACTACGATATGTACTTGGCGCAGTACAAATCGATTTACTCCTCAGATGTCAACGCCACGTTTTGTTGATGGTCGTGGATGCTGGCGGTGAAAATCCTCAATAGTTGCAGATAATTGGTGGAACGTTGGGTGCTATATGCCCTGGAGGAAGCTCAATCAAAGGCGTACTATATGATTGCTTACAGTGCCATCTATCAACAAGGATGTGGAGAGGTTTAAAATGCATTCAACCAATGCATCTATAGTAGGTATCAAGGTAATGTCAGCTATTCACATTACGAATGTTTGTTCTGAATTAAATCTTTATTCTAGTAATTTAACGTGTCAATTGATCGCAAAGAGAGCCAGCACTGCGTGCAGATATCGGCGCTGTACAAATCAATTCTCTCCTTGCAAGACAACGTTGCTCTCTGTTCGTACTCACGGATGCAGACTTTCGGTGAGGATTCATGGTATTTGGTCCAGTGTATGACCAAGACATAGCCGATACGAACGCTGTAACGTTGGTCGGCTTCATCCTGATGGGATTTCAATTTGTCGAATAATCAGAGGCGGACTGAATCATTGCTGACTTTGTCATGTATCTACACCAATCGAAAAGCTACAGGACACTATGCTAGTATATCAGCCACGGAAATGAATTTTGAGTACAAGCCACAGTTCAATTACTAATCTACCGAAGATGAATATCGTATTTAAGATGTATTGTACAAATAAGTTGTTCAATAATTTTTAAACATTATTAATAGATTTTGAAACAAAAATTATATGCAAAAATCAAACAAATGTTTAGAGGTGGCTTTGTAGGTAAGTATGCGTAAATTAATAGTATAAGGAATAAACATTTAAGCGTTTCGTTTTTTTTCACTTCAATAGGCCTGATGGAATCCCAATATATTTTGTTTGCACTGTGTGGGTTGTTTGGACAACATAGTATATGTTTTTTTTATTTAAAATTAATACATTTTATTTTGTTTCTTATTGAACATGAGCTTTCAATGTGACATAAATTCTCACTTGTCACTTGGTTTCAATTTACACGGACAAACACAAATCTTAAGTGCTGATTTGAGGTGTGTCGTGAGTAACCAAACTTGGCAACATACGTGTAAAATATAACCCCTTTAATCCATTCACTACATTTTCAACGAATAATTTATCAAACTCAACTAAAATCAATAAAAAGTCGTCTTCCAAGACAGAATACAGCACAAAATCACAACTTTGACAGTTTAGAACCCACATGTTTATTTGAACCTGACAGTAATATGAATGATTGTTGTTCAGCTTTAGTTGGCCAGTTGCTGGACAGCGTCTAACATATTTTTTAACGGTTGCGTTGTTCTCAATGTCTACTACTGTCCCTAATTCTCCTGCTACAGGGCATTTGATCTCAAGGATGACGTTGCCCAACGGGTCAACACCATCTGGTGATGCAGCAAACCAGTTTTCACCAGGCTTTACTACCAATCCACACTTTTTAATCAATGGATTACGCTTCCGCTTATAACATGCGTAGGCTTTTGGCTCATTATCCTTCCCATACTTAATGGCAGCAGTTTTAATACTCGACATGCTCCAATAGCGGCTGATTTTTCTGTCCCAGTTAGGTTCAGCGTTGAAAAGATACGTATATAATTGATAACACGAGCTGGCGGTGATCCGAATAGATCTCTGTATCCTCCAATAGTTGGTTGTCTGCTCTTGAGTATCTACTGCTATTTCTATGATTCGCTTCAAATCAGCCTCCACGTTTTCACAGTACCAGGTCTTCTCAACAACTGATTCAAATGGAGCTTCGGATATCAAAACATCCGAATATCCATTTAACAGAGATCTCAACTCATCTTTTGCACAGAATTCGTCTCCATTACCACGACATTGCACAGCTCGATTTGGATCTACTGAAGGAATGTTAAGATGCCTTCCCAACTGATGTTTACTGATGGCAGATTCTTTGGCCACTGTAAAAAGAAACAATATTGAACCCCATGAGCAGATAATATTTTTTTTCAGTTACCCTTTAAAATCCGGTGGAATGATTCCATCAGTATGTTATTTTCCATAGTCTTATCCGTAGGCATTATTTTCTTTGGGTGGTTCACACAGCAGAGGTCATCAGTCCGTTTTGCACCCCAAGGAGCTGTCCTTTCACTTTTTGTGATTCCCCATGCCTGAACTGTGTCGGTGCACGACAAATACGACGCGTTTCCCGATCTAAATATATTGAATATACTTTCAAATTATTGAGTTCTAGTAATTGCAGAAATGCAAAAATTACCGATTTAGCGTCAGCATAGACGCGATAATATGTTTGCAACGAGAAGTTCCTGCTTTGCAGGAGCAAATACACACCCACTTTGATACATCCGCTGATATGGTTAGACTCGTTTTGTGTGGAATTTGGCCAGGATGTGATGATTGCAGAACATAGCCACAGTAAGTTACAGCGCAATCTGCTTTTTCTGTATATCCTATACAGACAACGTGCCCTGCATCAAACACAGCGCAACCTTCACGAATTGGCCGGACACTATCTCCAACATAATCGAGAATATCAACTAACGTGATATTAACTCTAATATCGTCCCTACAGTCATCTGAAACTAATCCGGAAGTGAACTTTTGTAATTTGATAACAGCGCGTTTTCAAAACAATAAATTTATCACAAATTTGTATTATACCAACAAAGGAAATGCATCCATTTGCTTCAATCATGTTTTTCCTACCTGCATTTGCCATTTTTTACTACAAATGAACTTTATTTAATTGAAAATAAATGATTTTGTAATTGCGTCCATTCACTCTCAAGAGGAATTCAAACGAACATCATCCATGTACTAGTTCATATTCCCACGCATAGAGTTCGCATGTGTTGTCATAGTTTTGCTGCAAGATGCCAATACCATATGCATTTCCATTTAGTATGACAGTCATTCTGCAGAGAGCATTACGCATTTCAACTGAAGGCCCTATCCCTTCTCATAACAAGTTTCATCCTGTATTTGAGAGGAAAATCATCTGATTTCAAAACAACCGTCATCCGGTTGCAGCTATCATTCGAAAAAGCGATTTCGGTGTTTTGTTTTGAATGGTCTGAGATTTCATTCGATCAGAGGATGATGTTTGTGTACAGTGTAGCGATTTCGAGCCAATTTACTGTCGCATCCGAGCCAGTTTCTGATTGGTCGATTTGACAGTAGAAATCGTGGAATAAAAAGGACAGAGGGATCGCATCGATCTGGCTGGCAGTGATGCCGGAATCAATGTTTACGACGATGGCGTTGTTAATTGTTCATATTTGCGAAAGGAATGTTGAAAAATTGAGTGTTTTAAGCGATTGATATTGTTGTTTGTTTATGGTTGTTTATATTGTGTTGAGCAAAACTGATGTACAAGCTGCTAAACTGCGGTAAAAACTCCGAATACTACTTTCCGAAGGGTATTCTTAAAAAACATTAAGAAGATTGTGAAGCTGGATTATCAATTCCCGTCCCGTTGTTTTTTTCTAGGAAGCTTTATCCAGCACAGTTTCAGCTTCAACTTATGGGTAGAACAATCACTCACAGCATGTCGTTTAAGTATTTAGGTGTCTGGTTCGATTCCAAGTGCACTTGGGGAAAACACATAGCGTATCTGAGGCAGAGATGCCAACAGCGAATCAATTTCCTTCGTTCCATTTCCGGAACTTCATGGGGAGCCCATCCGGAAGATCTGATAAGACTCTACAAAACCACCATTCTCTCGATTTTGGAGTACGGTAGCTTTTGCTTTCAATCAGCGGCGGGGATTCAATATCGTTGCATTCGAATCGCACTAGGTTGTATGCAATCGACGCATACCATGAGTCTTTAAGTTCTTGCGGGCGTCCTTCCCTTAACAAATCGTTTTGCGGATTTATCGTTCCGGTTCGTCATCCGCTGTGAAGTCATGAACCCGCTGGTGATCGAAAACTTTGAGAAGCTGCTAGAGCGGAATCCTCAAACACGATTCATGAGCTTGTACTACGAGTACATGACTCTGGACATCGGCCCCTCCTCGTTCAACCCCAATCGCGCTGTCTGCCATAATTTCAGTTGTTCTTCCATGAGATTCGATCTCACAATGAGGCAGGAGATTCAAGGAGAGCCTCACCGTTTCCTGATTGTCCCAACTATTTTTGTAAACAAATACTGCCACGTCCCCACCGAGAAGAGATTTTTCACAGATATGGGTCTATGATAATTTTTTTTTTCTTTTATTTAACGTCGGTCTCTGTTCCGCAATCTAGTGCCAATCACCGACGGACATCGATTGTCATCCATTGACGGCAATCGAATGTGCAGGAAGGCAGCTTCCACACCTGCGTAGGATATCGCACCCATTCAACACACATGGGCCGGGACCAACGGCTTTACTTTCCTTCCGAAGGAAGACGTGACCAGAGATTTTTATGCCTCAGAAAAATCCCACCGACCTCGGTTGGGATTGAACCCAGACCCATCGGGGTGTTAGAAAGCAGTCACGCTTACCACTACACCACCGGCGCCGGCTATTCGGTGATAAATGCGTCCACTGGTTTTGGAGTATTCCACGATCTTCATAGTTCCTTATACAAGCTTGAATATTCTTGATGAGCTGAAGTTTTGTCAGCTCATATAATGACGTCGCAGAACCCCGCGCCTTCGCCCGAGCCATCCAATCCATACACCAGTTTGAAAGACGAAATAAACAACACCGACGGATGGCGCCTTCTAGGCACCAGAAAGTTAAACAATGAGCAAAACGTTGATGACTCAGGGTAGCGTCTTTTGGGTACGAGGAGGGTCTGGAAGGCAGACTGGTCAGATTACGACGTGCGCAAATTACGACGGCTAAATCAACAAAAACATGCTGAAAAAGCTAGAAGGCAAAGAAAACAACAGACAGCACGAAATTATTCTAACGCAAGGAACAACATACACAGCAACAGTTTAAATCCTCGAAATCATCGAAACATGAATTCCGACAACGGTTACAGTACCAATCACAGTAATATTTTCGGCCATCGGAGCATAAATCAACATAACGACCAGGACAACATTAACAGCAATAACAAAAACAACAGTTCCTATCAGTTCCCCATCAGAAATCATGGCAACCCTCGTTTTCTTCCACCTGATCGAGAGCTTCTTTCATCAGCAAAAAATGTCTTCAACAGACCACCGGTTAATTATCAACCTTCGATGCAGTTTGAAAAAGGGGAAACTATAAATCCGTACCCAGTCAGCGGTCTTCCGAATTCACATGGTATGGCTCCGGGGAATTCTTCCTCTACATCGTGTCAGCCGTGCGCATGTAGACATGCGTGTTTTCGGCGCAACTGACGCACTCATCTGAGGTATGACAATACAGCTGAGCCCGAGGATCATGGCATCTCACATAACTTGAGGGATTTTGGACAGTATGCAGCAACTTCACCCCCTGACCAGCACGACGTAAGTGACCATGTCGCTAGTTTATCAAGTAGCTCTTTTTTAAATGAAACTACATTCTATTGCCAAAATTTTAACCGTATGCGTAGTGCATTTAAAATAAATGAAATTCAAAATAAAATAAGCGGCTGCACATATGATATAACAATTGGAACAGAAACTAGGAGGTCTGAAAGTATTAATAGTGAAGAGGTCTTTGGTAGTAAATTCAGTGTGTTTCGATGTGACCGCGATTAATCATTATCAGGTGATGGTGTACTCATTGCTGTGAATGCTACATTTCAAGCTGAACAAATTGCTGGTGCAAAACATAAAGAATTTGAAGATGTGTGGGGGTTAAAATTTTAATAAATAGTGAAGAACATCTTTTCGCTTCTGTCTACTTTCCCCCACACTTTTCCAAAAGAACCACCTTACGAAAAGTTTTTCACTGCTGCAGAACTGAAAATTTAAAGAGTAGATGCAAGAACCAAAATTCATATTTATGGAGATTTTATCCAGAATACTGTTAATTTTATACAGGATAGTGATAATAATTCTCTGCTGTTACCAATTGTAGGTGAAAACGATACTTTGCAATTCATCTTCATCTTCATCTAAGCAGCCACTTAGGACTTCATCAAATTAACCATGTTCGTAACCAGCTCAATTCCTATTTGGATCTTATGTTTACTAATTGTACAGAAGATTTTTGTATTGTAGAAGCAGCACTTCCATTATGGAAGAATGACAAATTTCATACGGTAATTAAATACTCGGTGTTCACAGATTCGCATCGGTCACGCTCAAGCGTTGTTGATTTTGAATTAGTTTATGATTTTAAAAATGCAAATGTTCCTGAATTTCACAGCAGACTGAATAATATAAATTGGCAAAACCTTTTAAAAGATTAACTCGACATGGACAAGGCTGTTGACATATTTTATACTACCTTATTCAATATCATTGAAGTATTCGTTCCTAAAAGACTAAAGAGAATAATGAACAGCACCAAATATCCTGTGTGATATACACAAGAAAACAGAAATATTAAAAACAGGAAGCAAAGAGCACACAAGTCGTATAAAAAGTTTAAAACGTCACAAAATTTAGAAAAATACGTTGTTATTTGCAGAGAACTTGAGGCAGAAATATCGTCAGCATATGAGAATTACAATTCAAAAGTAGAGAACAAGAGAGAAGCTCCCTGGAGGCTATGCGTTCAATGAGGCCGATGAAGCACTCGGCGTATTTCCTCCAGGAAATACGATCGTCATTGAGTGCTTTATCAAAAAGCTCGCATATCATCACCTTGGTATGTGTCCCTTCTCATTGCTCTATCCCGGGCAATGAGAAAGCGGACTCGCTGGCCAAGGTGGGCGCTATGGAAGGCGATATTTACGAGCGACAAATCGACTACCACGAATTTTTCACGATTTCTCGTCAGCAAGTCCTCGCCAACTGGCTACAAAAGTGGAATGATGGTGATCTGGGAAGATGGCTACATTCTATTGTCCCACAGGTGTCGATCAAACCCTGATTCAAAGGGTTGGATATGAGTCGTGATTTTATTCGTGTAATGTCCAGGCTCATGTCCAATCACTGTTCGTAAAACGCTCACCTCTTTCGTATTACGCTTCCCGACAGCAACTTGTGTACCTGTGGAAACGGTTATCACGACATCGAGCATGTTCCTTGCATCATGAGGTGAGATCTGTTCTGTGTGATTCCCTTAAGGTCCGAGGAAAACAACCCTTTAAGCCAATTTGAGAAGTCTTGGCTTGCCCCCAAGAAGCACAATTTGTCATAAACGGGTTTAAAGGGTGTCCACGATGAAATTGCCACACACAAAATTGATTCGCAAAATTCGAGTTTTCATCCGATTGCCATCATATTTTCAGGGATTGAGAAATAACTATTAAACTATATTACCATTTTACTCGTATTTTATTTACAGTCCATACGCAAATGCCCGCACCTTGGCCTTAACCCCGGCCATAAGATTCTGCACAACCTGTGAATCAACCGTTTTTTGCATGTAAACCTATACTTTCTTCAGTTCCTCGACTGTCTTCACTACCTTAGGTCGTTTAAGAAGGTGCTGCTTCATAATCGCCCAGTACTTCTCGATGGGGCGGAGCTCCGGAGTGTTGGGAGGGTTGAACATTTTCGGCACGAAATTGACCTTATTGTCCGCATACCACTTCAGCACGTCCTTGGAGTAGTGGCATGAGGCCAAATCCGGCCAGAAGATTGTTGGGACGTTTTGGGCCTTCAGGAGAGGAAGCAGCCGCTTCTGGAGGCACTCTTTTATGTACACCTGTCCGTTCATCGTGTCCTGGGTCACGAAAGGTGCACTCCGCTTCCCGCACGTGCAGATGGCTTGCCAAACCAGGAATTTCTTCGCAAATTTGGACATCTTCTGAGTGCGGACATGCTCCGGAACGCTGAACTTATCCTTGGCCGTGAAAAACAGGTTGCCGGGGATCTGTTTGAAGTCGGCCTTCACATATGTTTCGTCGTCCATGATGCAGCATTCAACTTTCGTCAGCATGTTGAGGTACAACTTCCTGGCACGGGGTATGGCGGACTTGTTCTGCTTCTCGTCGCGATTAGGGGCCTTTTGTACCTTGAACGTTCGAAGCCCAGCCTTAGTTTTGGCCTTCTGGACAAAACTTCGGCTTAGGTGCAGCTTCTTAGCCACATCCCTAACGGAAGCGTTCGGATTTCGGTTGAAGGCCCCAACTACGCGGTTGTGATTTTTGGTGTTGTACGGAATACTTTTCCCTTCACTTCTGGGCTTCCGATCGGTGGTCAACCGTTCCTCGAACCGCTTAATCACTCCCGACACCGTGGAATTCGCGATTCCCAACGTTTTAGCGATGGAACGATGCGAGAGATCCTTGTTCTCGTGATGAATGCGCAAGATTTTATCACGCACGAGCTGTTCTTTCGACTCCATTTCCGCGAGTTTTGATCACAGGACTTTAAAACTTGCAGGATGTAAATAATGCACTATGAACTAAATCCACCCAAATTTTCATTAAATTCTACCCAACGGTTAAAAAGTTAGAGCAATTTCATAGTGTGACAATTTCATCGTGGACACCCTTTACATAACTTATTTATGACAATATCAGCGGTAAAAATTTACGTCTAGTCACTTATATACAACTTATTTATACCGAAAAAAGCGCAAGGTTGGATCTATATATATAACATATGCTTGACTTGCGCAACTTATTTATGACTATAACGCAACCTATTGTATTGGACATGTTGTAAATTAATTTCATCCTTCCTACGAATGGAATTTATTTATCATCAATTTACACAACTTATTCTTCTGAGGAATTTAATCGTGCGAATAAAGTGCCTAAACTGAGATTCCGTACTGCAAACATTTATGCGGTTGCAAATTTATGATAAATCCATACATTCTACTTCCCTACAAACTCATTGGCTCTTAAAAAACGCTTAATATAATAAATTGAATTGCATAAAAAATCCTGGATAAAATTCCCTAATATTGCAAAAACACAAAAACAAATAGAATATCAACTTTCTTTTTTAATTATCTTACTTTTTTCTTTTACGAAACGTACATGTTATGTTGAAATCACAAATTAAATGTTTTTTTTCATGCTATACATTGCTTCATTGGTCAGTCATATTTTAGTGCAGTTTGTAGAATGCATTGTCATAATTGTTATCAAAACATGTTTATAACACGAAAAACAAGAACATTACTTGTATCGTATATTGAAGTTATAATTAGGTATGGCAACTCTCAATTGCTTATTTATAACACTTTTATAACTGATTGTTTTTGATGAAAATTTGCTAGCCTTATATACAACATGTCATTTTTGGAAACATGAGTACAACTGAAATAAAACTTATCAATAACATGTTATCAATAAGTTATATCTCAGATGTATTCATGATTCTAATAATGACATATGAAAACATGTTGTACATAAGGCTAGCCATAAATGTGTTTTAAACTGGTAATTGAGACATGTTATATCGAATTATAACTTCAAGATAACAAGTGCTTGTCAGAAAGGTTGAATATTTCACAAACAACAATACAACGCGTCTAAAACAGGATGTTTTAAAAGCAATTAATATATAACTTATTTACAACTGGATTTTTTTTTTTTCATGCAAGATGTTGAAAATTTTACGACTATCTTAAAGCTGCTGATGTATGTGTTTAATGTTTTGTGTTTTAGTCATCCTTTACGTTTAAGTTTTAAATTAGTTCAACATGCTTTTCCTTGTCCCTCCCTCCAAATGATCAATAAATGTAATGCCTAATTTCGAGTAAGCCGCGAGTAATCGGCCTCCGTTCTACTAACATTAGTTGTAAGAAATGATATTCACTCTGTAAAAATCACCAGTATGTAAACACAATCATGTAAGAAATATTCGGCTCCGCAAAGCTAACGCATTTGAGCTTTGACAAATAAATGGATTATAAAAAAAAGAAGTCCCATCCCGGAACTAAACGAGTAGTAAGTAAAGCGTCAACACGGACAACCCTTTCAACTTCATGGTATAGTGGAGAAAGTCGAAAGTCTCCAATATCTTGGCAACCAAGAGCAACATATGTAAGACTAGGGTTACTTTACGAGTTTACGAAATATTTGGAGATCAAGCCAGATAAGTACACGGCTCTAAATCTAATGTTGTTTTCAGTGAGGGTTATTCCGAGAGTCGAAGTGATTTTTGTCACTAGTGAAGTGACATTTCTCACTTCACTAGTGACAAATATCACTTCGACTCTCGGAATAACCCCCAGTTATTTCTAGTGCGAAACTAGTTCCACCCTAACAGCTGGCAAAACGTTTCTTTAATCGAGTGGGTTGGATCCAGATCCGCCCTGGGTCTGACTCAAACTCGAAGAGGTTCGCTCTGTCGATTTTTTGAGATCCAACCTGGGTTCACCAATGCACACAAACGGTAGCTACCAAAATCAAATGTTGTTTACATTGTTCACCATTCGCGAATGTAATTAAATATTAATCGGATTGAAAATCGAAAAAGTGCATAGAAAAATTGAGGTAAGTGCTGTTTTAAGATTATTTAATTGTATTTAATTCGTACGTTTTTTTTTTACATGGAATTTATTGAAATACTGTTATCATCTTCTTCAAGTTTGTCTGATTATGACTCCGACACCGAGATCTTGTTGAGCAATCTTGATTCCTCAAATGGCCCACAAATGAAGAAAATAAGGATTCACAATTTCTTTGAAGATTTTGTGGATAATTACAGCGATGAGCAGGTGATTAGCTTCATTTTATATGTGTAAATTAGTTTGGTTTAATTATTTTAATTGTTTGAAAAGCATTGAAAAAAATTACGAAGCCTTACACATCGGGATTTCCTATGTTTGCTTCAGTGTTTTTTTTTCCATTAGAACGATATGAAACAAATATTTACCTGAAATATATCTGAGAGATCTAGTCCATCTTGTTGTATCACATTCCCTTCATCATTCAGGACAAGCTGATAGTTCGCCAAATCGATTTCCGCTTCTATCAATTTACAATTTTAAAACAAACAAAAAACACTGAACTTCTGAAGCGCTGACACAAAAATGGGCTGTTAAGATTTCGTCGATTTCTGACTCGACCTCAGATCCAACTCGGATCGTTCGTTTATTGAGAGTCAGGATTGATTCTAACCCAGGTTAAAAACGGAAATCGACATAAACTTTCAACTCGAATATGAAACAAATATTCACATTAAAAAAAATCAATACATCCCCTCCCATTTAAGGGTATCATAAATTTATAGATTGTTATCTTTTAGAATTAAATTGCTAAATCTCTTCGAAGTTTCAAGGATCAAAAACGATGCATATGAAATTGCAACGTGCAACAGGTTGTTAATTATTTATCAGCTACACCGCGTGTCACAATTTAAAATTCCTTTGGAACCGTTCGATGTTTAAAAAGGCTCCGTCAAGCATTGTCAGGTTCACTGTTTTAAACCTAGCTGTTGCGTCTAGAACATTTGAAGATTCACGATGGAGCGTTTTAAGCGGTACTTCAATAAGCGGAAAATTGAGTTGAAAGAAGAATTTTACTCTCCGCGAACCATGTACGAAAGTGCCTGCGATACCCTTATCGGGTATTTTCACGTGAGCGGTGCAGATCGTTTGCGGGCTGATTATACTCCGTGGAATCCTCGTTTGGTTTTCCTCGTAGCGGATCTAACTTTGTACATCCTGGTCAACTGTTGGTGTTTGACGGTATTTTGGGGGCAGCTAACTGATGTTGTATTTTGCCTCGTGACGATGGGCATTGCAATACAGGTGAGATGTCGAATTCTATCGGGTACCGTGAGGATCAGTTGTTGAATCCTGTGATTCTAGGGATTTGCAAAGATTGCCAACTACACTGATGACCGACTATACGAGCTCCATGTTTACAACGTGGAACGATTCGACAAAGTAAGAGATTATCCTGAAGCTCGAGAGTCGTTGGAGACAACGGCTGTTCTCTGCAAAGTGTTTATCAAATTGTTCTGTACAATGTTTATGATGCTAACAACGTTCATACCAATTTACACGGTAGTATATTCGGTTAGCACTAAAACTTTACAACTACCGTTCGGGTTTTTTTTCCCATGGATTGATCACTCGAACTTGTTCGGATATCTTATAAATTTGTCGTACCATTTTCTGCAAATATACGAAGCTTGTTATGGGTTACTGGCGACGGATACGTGCTTTCTCTTCTTTATTATGCATGCCATTGGACAGCTGGATATATTGATTATTTACTTGAGAAAGCTGGATGAATTGGCCCTTAACTATGATAAAATAAAAATCGATCAAGATATATACCGGCTGCTGGATGATATAGCTGAAAAACACCAAGAACATATGGAGTAAGGATATTTTTTAATTCATCTCAAGATCGTTGCTAATGTCTTTATTTTTAATTTCAGGTACATGTCGAAGTTAGATTCTCTATTGAAACCGGGATTTTTCGTCAATTTTTCATGCCTGATTGCTGAAACAGTGGCATCGCTCTATGTTCAGTCTACAGTAAGTCGTATAAGTCACCGGTAATATTTTGACGATATTCATTTTTTTAAATTATTTTTTAGACCGGTGGTATCTGGTATCCTGGACTGATTGTTGTTTTGCTATGTGTTGTTCAATTATTCATTGCATGTGCATTGGGAACTATTTACTCCACTAAGGTAATAATCTACTCCACTAGGTGATAATGATACACTTTACGTTTGCATGGATTACAATGTTCAAGAATGTTGAAAACCAAAGGGACCTAAGAAAGTCTACGCAGAATGAAGAAATTTTTTGCAGTGATACAAAATGACGATCTCGATTCCCAAAAATTATATAGATATATAAAAGGTGAAATATCAAGAAATAATATCAGAAATACAAAACTAAGCAATAAAGTTATCAAATCAATTACAAAATACTTTAGCTTTGGTATTCGTATGGTATGCAAATACCAGAATTGGTTTTTAAAATGGTATTTTACATGCTATATTTTGGGTATTATTTCTTGATATATTACCATAGAGGTAACTCTAAGACCAGATGGTCCCGAAGAAACACGCTCAACTTTTCGGCTCAGCTCTGGTACTATCTTCGGTCCCAAGCTAATCGATTCACCCCTCGAAACATAGGAAAATCCACTAACCCCTCATTTTATCTTTCAAACTTTCATAGCGAATCAAAACAAACATTGTGTATTACTAGAATTTCGACAAGAATGGGGTACGTTAATCGTTTTCTTGGGACCAATAAGCTAGTCAAGTAGTGAGCCAATTTAAAATCGTTAGTTTCGTATTGATTGTTGATATTACCTCTTATGTCATGACACGATGTTACCAATACAAAGGCCGAGGAAATGTTTCTAGTTGGACCTTTTATCGACTTCCCTGGACATATAGTAATATTCAGCCATTCCATAGCAAAAAGATATGATGGTTCTCAGAATTTCGTAAAAAATTGGTAGTTTTGTTCCTTATCGCAAAATATTAGATCATTTTTGTTTTATTATTTTGTCATCATGGTGACCATTTCCATGATAAGGTGATCAAAAAATCCTTTTTCTTATTTTTTTATTTCAAAAATGACTTTGTTTTTAATAATTACTTTTGAACCACTGGGTCGATTTCAAAGATCCAAATATCAAATGAAAGGTAATTAAAAATACATTTTTTTTTCTTTAAAAATATAGGCTTTTTATACAACATATCCATAAATCAAAGTTTTCGTTTTTGAGCTATATTTTTTTGAAGTTATCAAGTTCTAGAGTTTCCGCTTAAAACACCTATGCGATTGGACTACCATGCGTCTTCATTGATTTATAGCGAAAACCCAAAAATTGGTAACTTATAAAAAAACTCAAAAACGATAAAAATACATCGCTGATTTTTTATATGTTGTGCAAAAAAAGCCTGAATTTTCAAGGAAAAATATAAAATAATAGAATTACCTTTCATTTGATATTTTGATCTTTGAATTTGGCACAGTGGCAGGTATGAATTTTTGAGAAAAGTAATTTCTAAAAAAACAATATTTTTCGAACCACACTAACATGGACATGGTCACCCTAATGACAAAATATAAAAAATATGGAAAAAAATTTACAAATTCCTCTATCCCTTTTTAACAGAACGACCAATTGGTGGAAGAAATCTACAACGTGTCGTGGTACGCATTGCCGATCCCAGCACAGAAATCTCTAACTCTCATCCTCCATTCGTCACAACACCCGGTTGTTCTTTCGGATGGATTCGATGCGATTGATTTGTTCGCTTTCGTTCAGGTATCCACCAACAGTTCGCAAATTAAAATGGAAAATTCATTCGATGTCAACTCTAAATTTCAGATCTACAAGAAAATCTACACGTATTTTACAATGCTCCAAAGCTTCAACTAAAACATGCAAAAGCATTCACCACCAACTTGATACGATGGGTGATGAACGAGGCCAAGGAAATTATTTTACACGTCAACAGATATTGTAATAAATATGGTAATCATTACCGAGAACATACGGCGACAAACGGAAAGGGAATAATGAATGTCACTTGCAGTAGCCGGGCAGGGTTGGTATAATAAGATCCTGCTGCTGTTTCGGATGATGACGAAGACGATGAGATGATGATGATGTGTTAAGAATTCTCCGGATGTCGTCTGCCGTTGGAGGACCATCGTCGGCGCGTTGGAGCATGATTTTCAAAATACCTAGGGGAAATTAAAATTGTGATGGAATGTCTTGCTCCGTTTTTGATGTCGGATTTCTTTTCTATAACTGCACAGTTGTTAGCACTAGTTGGATGGTTCAAGACATGGCACAAGTTTTCCCTCAGTAGGGGTTATTACGATTCGCATAAAATGTAATTTTTATGTAAATGTGCACATTTGCAAAGTAGCTTCTCCTTGGGAGGCAAATGAAAATATTCATCAAATAAAACTATCTATTTACGCACTCTTGCCGCACACCGAAATGGCTCTGTGAATCATAATCATCTTTCGATCCAATCTCATTTACTCTCCCTCAAATTTGCTGTCGAATGGCTGCATTCAAAGCTTCTGCTACTGCCTGTTGTGGGGTTTTCCCTCGTCCCTTTCTGATTTCCCATGCCACTGATCCAATGTAATAAAATAATCATATTAATAACAATAAATTTACAAGAAGCGGAGTTGTTCTTTTGTGCGTTATAGACACTCGAGAGCAATTCCGTTTCATCATAGCAATGGCGCAGAGATTTAACGGTTTGCCAAGCAAAATAAAGAGGGAAAGGGTTATTGCGAGTGGTGGCCATTTCGGGGTCTTGTTATCTGCTCTGGTTCATCGAAAAAGCATTTCCGATCCAAATCCATTTACGCTGTCTGCAAACAGAATGACGAATGGCTTCATTGTCTGCCGACGCAATTTATGATTTTTTTTTGTTACTGCGCTTGGAAGCTAGCGGCAAGCGATTATTTTCACAGTGATTTAAAATTAATTGAATAAAATTTGTATTTCATTAAATCAGACAGCTTTTGTTGAAATTTAAACTTAATGAATTCAATAGTAGATGCTTAAGCATTAAAATACATTGATTTTAATAATAATGATTGCTTTCTCCCCCAGTAGGTCTGGGTTCAATCCCAGACGAGGTGAAAAACCGCCAATCGCGTCTTCCATCGATAGTCTCGGTCCAAGTGTTTGTTGATGGGTCGCCTCGTTGGTGAAGGGAGCTACGTGCGAAACAGAGACAAATGGAAGAATAAAAAACAAGGTTTGTGGTTGTGTCCGAGCAGTTATGTAACCAGTTATTGATAATCAACATTTTAGCCTTGTAGCAAAAGGTAATTCTTAGTGGGTAACCAGTTCCAAATTTACCATGACATCACTGTGTCCGAGGCTTTTATTGACGTAGGACTAAAAGATTATGTATTTTGATTTGAATTAACCGAGTATCGTAGTAATTTAAAGACTTTGAAGACAGTCATAATTTACATTTATATACTTTTAGCGGTATTGAAAGTAATCAACAAATAAATAATTGTTATTGTTAGTTAAATTTATAGAAGATAATAAAAATATCAAATTTTGTCAGTAATTAAAGTATTTAATGAAATTAAGATTGTAGTCCTTTTGTTGAATCCAGATATTCGAGGGCTTTCTGAACTTCGTCTGGAGAAAACTGTATACATGATAGATTAATGTTATGGGACGGTATCTGCTCAAAACAGTTTTGGAGTTGTACGGGCGATGCTCTCGAAGAAAGTAGCAAAGAGATTGGCTGCTTCTGAGCTTGAATGAGAAGTAGTTTCATCGAAGTGGACCGAGCCAGGGATGCCCTTTCCAGCTTTCCGTTTCTTGATGAAGTCCCAGAAGCGCGAAGGATTTTGCTTGATGGTTGACTGAATACTGAGCGAATAGTTTTCATGTGTTGCATAAAGAATGACTTTGTACTCCAACTCAAGCTCACGGAGTCTAGCTTCGTCGGATTCAATTTTTGAAAGGAAATATCGGTTGCGCAAATAAAGTAGATTGTTACGAAGGCTACGTAGCTCAGCAATCCACCACGACTTGTTGTAAACTGACATCGATGTTTGTCTTTTTTGAAGTACATGACGGTTGATAACTTCCGACAGAGATTCATAAAAAAAAACTGATAGCATCTGATCCACCGGACCATTATTCGATAATCGCCCCCTCTCAATATCCACAAACATAAAATTCAACAAGTGAAAGCCACATGCCGAATAGTTAAATTTGAAACATTGATCACGTCACGCTCGTCAAGTAGTAAAATGACTGGCAACAGCGGAGAAGATGGTTCAATCAGGTTAAGATATTCCGGTAGATTGGTAAATACAAGGTCCAGCAGTCTGCCATTTGTGTTGACGAAACTATTAATCCTGCCTCAAGCCGTTGGCAAACATCGCTTTTTGACGTTATAGTGAACATGCTGTGCCATTTATCAGTGGGTTGTTTTGACAACATCCATAACCAAAAGAAGAGGAATAAGAAGAAGAAGAAGAAGACAGATAAGAAAAATAAGAAGACGAAGAAGAAGAAGAAAGATTGCTTCTGTGAAGTTCAGCTCAGACTTGCCTGCGATGACGGTTTGCAAGACGCCTTCTCCATTCTCATACACAGGACCAGGATGACTGCTGAACGCTAGCAGTAGTGGCTCGGCTGTAATGAGAGAATTAGGAGCTTCTATTAGGCTTGCAAGCGTGCATTCCGGAGTCGGAACCATTGATCTAGATGGTGAGAGACGAGCGTGAAGGGGTTGACTGGAAACGTCGGATGTATCAGATACATATTTTTTATTAATGAATGCGTACTTGCCTGTAGTAGCGGATTGGAATACCCCTAGTCCATTCTCATAAACAGGATCGGGATGACTGGTGAACGCTGGCAGAAGTTGCTCGACTGTGATGGGGGGATCAGGGGTTTCCGAAATGCTCAAGCTGGTACGTCCCGGGACGAAGCAGATTAACTCAAGTCCATTACAGGAGTGGCTGGAGAAGAAGTTTGAGCTGGCAGCAATGGTGTTATTGGTTTCCTGTACTTCAAAGGAACCCGTTATTTCAAACTCCCAGAATAACACACCCTTAGGCCTGGGTTTCTGGGTTCAAAGCCTGAGATTTCAACGATGGATAAATACCAACTTTAAAGAACACACATGAAAGAGTAGTGATGTCGTTCTCTTCTGGAATCAGTTTAACCCCAGCAGGATCTATCTCGACATTGAGATTGGCTTTGACCATAGCCGATGGAGAGATACAACCAGAATTTCTGATCCTCGTTATTATAGACAGGTATGATATTATCTAATGGCAGCTTACTACCTACATACACGACAGATTAAAATTTGTCTTCGAGTGTTTTTGCTTTATCTCAGCACACAGCTCAGCGGCGCCGGTGGTACCACACCGGTACCAGTCGTACGCCTCACCACGCAAGATGGTATGGATTCGTTGAAGAAGGATGTGTGTGTGTGTGTGTGTGTGTGTGTGTGTGTGTGTGTGTGTGTGTGTGTGTGTCTGTGTGTGTGTGTTTGTGTGTGTGTGTGTGTGTGTGTGTGTGTGTGTGTGTGTGTGTGTGTGTGTGTGTGTGTGTGTGTGTGTGTGTGTTGTGTGTGTGTGTGTGTGTGTGTGTGTGTGTGTGTGTGTGTGTGTGTGTGTGTGTGTGTGTGTGTGTGTGTGTGTGTGTGTGTGTGTGTGTGTGTGTGTGTGTGTGTGTGTGTGTGTGTGTGTGTGTGTGTGTGTGTGTGTGTGTGTGTGTGTGTGTGTGCAATCTAACCCCCACTGTCCGGCAATGTTATTATGGAAGAAAACTGCTTTTTATTACCCTTAAATTAAAGCAGGTTTAGTCCGGGAGTTAGAAGGTGTTACCTCTATTGCAGCTCCAGTCACCCATTTCAGAATGCCTGGTAATTCACGACCACTCCGAGGTCACTTTTACTTACAATAAGCCCCGCATGTTTACTCTACCTTTATCATATGGATAATGGTATCATAAACACACTTCCAGATTAAAAAAATATTATTTCCAAATCTGGCACGTACATAGTTTTGAAATTTGTTCAACTGTATTAAATCGATTTGAATGGACATTTCTTATCAATTTTGTTTCGAATACCTCTTGATTCATCTGCTGGCAGCACTTACTGGCCCTTACCGGCGACCAACGCGTCTGCCCGCAAAAGCAACAACGCCTAAATCTCAAAGCTCTTCGGACGTCCCCTCGAAAATGCATGGATTCGTTGAAGAAGGATGTCGCCCGAAATCCGATCCATCCTAGCTAACCTGTGAATTTTGTGTTGGAAATCTTCCAACGACCTCAGACGTGAATCTCCACTGAAAGTTAAATGCCATTTTTCCATTCGGCGATCTGCATTTATAATATCCATCTCAGCTATCCGCTGTTGTGGTCGACCTTGCCCATTTCTGTCTCCGTAGTCATCATACCTATCAATCGGATCAGGTCTATGACCAGACGGTGGGTAGTATTCATGGTTCCTGTCTCTACCATCGTCTGATCGATTTCTCGATCTGTTGCCAAAGCTGTCCAATCTATCGAACGGGTCAAGCTGATAGTCAGCTGGTGGATACTTTTGTTCATGCCTGTCTGTGCTATCGCTTACATTATTATACGGTCTATGGGATGCTTCGTTATCCTGCTCTCTGAACCTACTTCCCCTATGCTCACGTTGTCGGTGGTTATTCTGGTACCTTTCGTCCACTCCATGACCTTTTTGTTCTAACGGGTTCCATAAACCTCTTGTCGCGCCTTGAAAAACGATCGTCACACCCTCTGTCGTCCTCGTCATAACCACTGCCAGCTCCGTCAACCCAGTAGTTCTTGTAGCTACCTAGACCTGTGCCAGCCATGTTTTAATGTAGGACTACGTCTTTATTTTCTATATGGGGGTCACATTTAAAA